GGAGAGGGCCTCTATGAGGTGGATTGATTCAGTGACTGGGGTAATCGGGATGGGTGTGTCAGAGACACAATTGGCACAGGATAGAGCAGGGTTTAGGGTTGTCGTACCTAGTGTCGCTATGAGTCGCAAGAGACTCAACGGCACATAAGAACAACATATATTTATTTATCTCGGCACATAGATAGCTTTCTCAAAGCCACCAAAAAGCAAAGGTGAGGATGAACCCCTCCTCTGCGAAGTAGTCCAGGAAGAAAGTTAGTAAAAGCCAATAGTGTGATCCATCCAAAAGCCTTATCAAGTGCATTGTAGTGGGGACGAGAACATTGTATGAAGGATGAGTAGATTAAGCCTTTGGGAGCCGCAACTAAAGCCTTTATTTTGGGAAAGCCATCAGCATATTCTGTACATCTGTTTATACTTTTCTCCAGCATAATTTTTTTTATTAAGAGTGCCCCTTAATAAACTACTACTTTATTTACATTTGCATATGCGTGACTTAACATCACAAATTATGAGTGCACAGTTAACAACCCACAGCCTTAAGACAGAACAGGAGCCAGCACACTCTTGTGTATACAGCTGTCCCTCCCGATTCTGAAATGGACAGTGTTGACATGGGCACTCACTCTATGCATTTTTCCTTCCCTTACTATGTAACTTGCCCTCTGGCTGAACTCCAGAACTCCTGAGGCTTGTATTTTTTAAATGCATACATTCATTCATTCAACAAATGCTTATCAAATGGGCTCCCCTCTGCATGGTTTTGTGCGAGAGAGACATAAATTGAATAAAACACAATCTGTACCCTGGAGGAGATGCAGTCTAGGGGGAGGAAGTTAACTGGGTCTTGTTTTTCTTAGTCTCGGCCAGCATTTCCCACAGAATCCATGGCCAGCATCCTGGAGTGGTGCAGAAGGCTAAGCACTGGACTCCTAGCTTGGAAGTTGGTGGTCAGGCCCTGGAAAACCCCATGGAGCAATTGTACGCTGCATACACAGAACTGGGATAGCAACTAACTCAGTAGCAAATTAACCACAGCACAGTTCATAGTCACTTACATTAGAAAGCCCTCCAGATTTGACATAGAAATGCAGATGCCAGCCTGCTGCAGGCCTCTTGACAGAAGCCCAGCATCCCCAACCAGAGCCTCAGGCCCATCCATCTAGTCTGTCTTAAATGAACGCTCTTAAGTTGGTTGCCTTTGCTTGATGCAGTATATAAGTAGCATCATGCATTTAAGAGGAATCATAATCTTTAAAGTATTGTTGTTACCATTGTAAACACTCTAGCAGATCAAATTTCTGGGGAGGTTTGGGGAGAAGATGACCAGAGGTGAGGACTTTGCTGTCCGCAGTCTTCCCTAAGCCATAGGTACAGATCTGAAAAACATGGGTCCTGTTGGTACAACATCTCAGCTGAAGTAGATCTTCAGAGGATAGCCAGCACTCTGTGTGGTGAGTCCCTGGGAGTGAGAACCTGGTGAGAGGATCCAAACCTCAGACGCTCAAGGTGTCCTGGGCTCTAGATGCTTATTTCGGTTCTCCTTGAAGCAGCTCCACCTTGCAGTTCTTCCCCTCCCAGCCTCCCAGCTACGATGGAGAGTGCACTACTAACAAGTTAGTTAAGGAAAATCCTTCGAAAACCAAACTGATTATGTCTCTCTCTCTTTTTTTTTTTTTTGTAAAGTTTTTATATTTTATACTGGTTTACTTACAAACTTTGTATACATTGTTTTTCATACCAGATCTTTCCCATTTCATTTGCCCACCCCTCCCTCCACCCATCAAATGTGCAACCCTGTGATTACCCCTCTGCTCATCCTCACCCCTCTGCTCCTCCCCCCACCCTTGGGCCTTCATACACATTTTACTACTTATCTATTCCTATAATAATGATCTTATATTGTATTTGACCTTCTGGGACTGATTTAGTTCAGTCAGCATAATGCTCTCCAGTCCCTCCCAAGTTAGATATTAATTTACAAAATCACTGTTCCTGCGTGCTGCATAGTAGTCCATCATGTGAATGTACCATAATTTCTCAGTTCATTCGATTGTGGTTGGACATGTGGGTGTGGCCTGTTTCCTTGTTCTTTTGATGGTGAATTAACACTGCTGTGAACACTGGTATGCAAGCCTCCTTTTTTTTCTGAAGGCCTCCTTCCCTTCTTTTCTTTTCTCTTCTCACCCTTCTCAATCCTTCCCTGGATTCCCTGCTGGATGATGGTAGTAGAGAGAGCTAATGAAGAAAGGGAGTCTCCTTGGCTTGGGGAGATTCCATTTACTCCAGAACTGGAAGTTGTATATAAGGAGACGTTAACTGTTAGTGTCTACTTTTGTAGGAGGATAGGTAGATAGAAAAAAAAGATGAAAATGATTTCTTTTCCTCTGCTGGATCCAGCAAATAGAGGCACATTTCACCATAGGGCCCCACTCAGACCCCAGCTCCCGAACACTTCCCCTCCATCCTGCCTGCTGTCATCCCAGAAAGCTTTGCTGCGCCATCCTTGGGAAACTCTCCAGTGACTTGTAATAATTAGCTCATATTCCCAGAGATGAGGCTCTCTTCTGTGTCCACATGAAAGCAGAGATGCTATGGAAAGAAAAATAAGTACCCATCAAACAGTATTAAGCGCTTGCCATTCCAAGAAAAATCTGTGGGCGTCAAAACTATTTCCAAGTTAAATATGTCAAGCATGTGTTTAAAAAAAAAAAAAAAAGTAAAAATTCCAGGGCAGCGGAAGATGTGGGAGAGGGCCTTCAAATCAATTATAATGAGATGATTCTGTCAGATGATTCTGTCACATCTCTCTGTGCTAAGAGTTAGTATTTAATTTTAAGAAAAATCCATTTTTGTGAACCTTGCTATTTTGTGAAATGCTGACCAGATGTTACACACCGTAAAGTGGAACCTGTCATGTCACCAAGGCCATCCCAGACAGACGTCTGGGAGACTGAGGAGCCACCAAGGACTTCTGTTTCCTCTTCTGCAAAGTGAGGAGAAAGACTCTAGGACCCACTTAACTCAACAATTCTAATTTCCCCTGTGCCTTTATCTGGTATGTGCTTAACTTTCTTTTGCAGAATGAAATTCCAGAAGAGTTCTTAATCCCAAGGTTATTACACATACACATACACCAGAGCCTAATTCATTTCTTTTATATCTCTGTATGCCAAAGTGCCTTATAATGAGTTGTTTGTGTTTCAGTAAACAAATTCATTCTCCATCTCGGCACTCCCTTCCCCCAAATAATTAGGGATCTGAAATCAATCCATTGCCACTGAATCGTGTTGTGTTCTATATGTTCCTAAGGCAAGATTCTACCAAAAAGAAGAAAGACTAGCCAGCTTCTATCTCAGAGCTTTTAAAATGCTGCTATCTTTATTCAAATCTGCACAGAAATTTTGTTTTAAAGACATGTTATCAGAAATGAGAGTTGGCATCTTTTGTGGTTCAAAATGTGCCCATTAAGAATAGAACTGGAAGAGAGCTGTAGACATGCTGCCTGAGTTCCACATGGGATTCTTAGCAAAGCTGCTCGGAGCCTCTGACACTGGAATTATCTAACTAAACTGTTCCTCACTTGTGCATGAAGGGCTGGCCCAGGGTAGAAAAAACACACATTTTAGAGTCAAAAAGGATTTAGGTTTAGATTTTCATTCTGCTTCATGGTGCTACATGACCGTTGGATCCCATAATCCATCTCCCTGAAGGAATAAGGATAATAATACTTGCAGTATGTAATTGTATTTCCTTTCTGTGAAAATTAAAGATGCAAGTTGGCATACCTGGAAGTGCTTACAAATGCTTGGCAGTCTTAAAAATGTATTCTCTCTGACCTCCTCTCTTTATGCTTAAAAGGTGCTGGCTGCCTCATCAACACTTAGTACAGAACGTAACTGGATTGATGTAGATGGGTAGGATGTTACTGTTGGAGGGGACTTTGGTGATTATCTAGTGCTGTCACCACAAATTACGATACTCCATTCCTCCACCCGGGGACCATAGTTTATATGCTTACATCACATCCCTGAGGTTTTGCCTCCACTTCCTGGATTATCTGGACAGTGGAAGGACATTGTGGTGAAATAGAACAGAGCCCTCTGAGCTGCCAGCACCCTGCAGTGGTGTCCCATGGTCTTCCCAAGGTGGGCTAATGCCTCAGTGTTCCGGGTGATGGAATGAGCCCTATCTTGTGCTATGTTGCCAAGATTTGTTTTCCAGCCATGTGGTGATTGGATGGTTGGCCTGTAGCACTGGCTTCTTGCTCAGCCACAGAAATGGAACTATTAACCTTGCTCATGTGTCTCCCCCAGAAAAATCATGACATTTTCACAGCTGATAGCCAATTTTACCAATTTTACCTGTTTGGGGGCTTTAAATTTGGGCGGGGAAAAAAGCCACCTCCCCCTCATTTGATTTTTATTATTGTTCTTTTATGCCCTTTTTATTACTGATACTCATTGAACCAATTGAGTGTGTTTTATTCATATATTTTTTTTTATGTCTCCTTAAGGATTCTGACCCAGAAAAATGGTATGCCTTTTAGAATTTCCTATTCCAAGATTTACATAGCACATTAATACTTACAATTTTTACCTCTGGGAACAGAGAGGAGGGAGGCAACAGATAATGAGGCATCCAAACAGCATCAGCAACTCGTCTCACTGCCGTCAAGTCAAAGCCAACCTATAGCTTTCCCTCCAGTGGGTATTCAGAGGCTGTAAATCAGATGGATGGATATTGCCCATTTGTTTCCCTCAGAGCAGCTGTAGGATTCCAACTTCCTGTCTTTGGTTTGCCTGTGCAACTCCCTATCCACTAGGTCATTAGAGCTCCCTTCCAGTGAGTGTAGGTGAGCATTTCCACCCTGGCTGTGGCTTGTACACAAAAGCAAACAGGCAGATTGAAATCCCAGGGCTCCATGCAGTAAGTACTTCAGCAGAAAGTGCCCCTTTTAGATGAGATTTGTATATGACACTGTCTCCTTTTGATTATAGCAAGCGGATGAGACGTTGGATTTTGAAGAACAGATCTTGGAAGCTGCTAAATCTATTGCTGCTGCTACGAGTGCCCTGGTCAAATCGGCCTCAGCAGCCCAGAGGGAGCTGGTTGCCCAAGGAAAGGTGGGTGAGCCCTGCTGACCGCGTTGTGCAATGTTGGTGTGGGGGGAGCCTCCAAGGAAAAGATGTCACAGCCTTCCCTTCCCCAGTTGCCAGTTCTTGTCCTGACTCACTGTAAACTCTTTAAAACTGATGAACAGAATTAAGGGCTTAGCTTCCAGGCTTTTCAACTCCTCCCTGTTAAGGAAAGTGATAGTGATCAGATCCTGAGCAAAGCATTGATAGTTCCTCTGTATGGTTTTGTGTTTTTTTTTTTTTTTGGAATTCAGATGCACTCTTATTGATTGTGCTTGGCTGTACATGTACATATCCTTCAAGATGTATCATGGGGGTGTTGCACCCTAGAAGACACAAATTTGACTAACAAGTTATAAGTACATGAGTCCAAAAATTATGGAAAAGTAAAAGAAAAGATTCTTTCATTGTTTTACAAACCCTCCCCCTGGTCCCCTCCACCATGCAGCCCTCGCTCTAGTCTCCTGTGATGACAGAAATACCCAGTTACATCTCTCTTTTAGACGGTTCTCTCCCTCCTCTGTTTCAGTGCAGTATACATTATTGAACCCATCTTACTCAGTCTCTCCCCAACCCCAAGGACAGTCTCATTCTACAACAGTGGCATCATGTAATATTTGTCCTTTTGTGACTGGGATATTTCACTCAGCATAATGTTCTCCAGAGTCAACCATTTTGAATAATATTGCATGAGTTCCTTGTTTTTTAATGCAGCATAGTATTCCATTGTGCGAATATACCACAGCTTCTCTAGCCATTCGTTTGTTGATGGGCACTTAGGTTCTTTCCAACTCCTTGCTATTGTGAACAAAGCTGCAATAAACATGGGTGTGCATATATCTGCTTGGATGTCAGCTATGGTCTCTTCAGGGTATATTCCCAGTAGTGGAATTGCTGGGTCAAATGGTATCTCTATTTGCAACTTTTTGAGAAAGCGCCATACTGCTTTCCACAGGGGTTGCACCATTTTACACTCCCACCAACAGTGAATCAGGGTTCCAGTTTCTCCACAACCTCGCCAGCATTTGTTGCTTGCTGTTCTGTTAAATTTTGCTATTTTGACTGGGGTGAAATGATATCTCATAGTTGTTTTAATTTGCATCTCTCTTAGGGCTAGGGATTTTGAGCATTTCTTCATGTGTTTGTTAGCCATCTGAATGTCGTCTTCGGTGAAGTGCCTGTTCATATCCTGTGCCCATTTTTCTATTGGATTATTTACCTTTATCTTGTGGTAGTTCCTCTGTATGTTAAGCTGTTTACAGACCTGAGTTGTCATATTTTGCTGGTGGACAGCTTTGAACACCATAGTCAAGGGCTTATTCATTTTTTATGCTTCACTCACTTGTTTTGAACCAGAGTTGAATGCTTCCCAGCTTTGTATAGTTAACATTTTCCAAAGCCTCTTGATCAAAACGCCAGTTTGATTTTAGATCTGCGCTTTCTCCAGTCTCCTTCATCTCAGCTCACCCATAAAGTACTCTATTTGACTGATTCTAGGGGTAGGGGTTGAGTGATAATATTCTTGCCTTCCATACAGGAAACCCAGGTTCAGTACCCAGCCAGTGCATGGCCACCATCTATGTCAGTGGAGGCTAGCATGTTGCTCTAATGCTGATTATTTTCAGTAGAACTTCCAGATTGAGATAGACTAGGAAGAAAGGACTGGCAGTCTACTTCTGAAAAAGCATTCCATAAAAACCATAGCACAATGGTCTAGTCCACATTTTGTCTGGGGGATATAATGGGATTAGGCAGTTTGATTCTGTATAGGGGTCACTGTGAGCCAATGGCAACTTGATGGCAACTAACAGACTGCTAGATATGGAAGGATCTTCTGATTTCAAATACTCTGCCTCATAGTCTCATAGAGCACCAGACGACAAACAGTTGTCCAAACAGAACAAAGAAACACTGCATGGTTTAAAATCAAGAAAGGTGTACATCAGGGCATTGTCCTTTCTTCATACCTGTTCAATCTGTCTGCTGTTCAAATAATTCAAGAAGCCAAACTCTGTGAAGAAGAATGTGACATCAGGATTGGAAGAAGACTCATCAACAACCTGCATTATGCAAATGATACAGCCTCGATTGCAGAAAGTGAAGAGGTCTTGAAGTACTTGCTGCAGAAGATCACAGACTACAGCTTTTCAACATGGATTACACCTCAACATCAAGAAAATAAAAATCCTCACCACCGAACCAGTAGACAACATCATGATAAAGGGAAGAAAAATTGACGTCAATGACTTAATTGTGAATCGGATCCACAATCAACAATCATGGTCACAGCAATCAAGAAATCAGAATGGTGCATTAGAGAAATCTGGTGTCAGGTGTCTCTCCAAAAGGTTAGAGAGAAGGGATGCCAGATTGAAGATTAATATTCCCGACTCAAGTCATGGTATTTTCATCTGCCTCCTATTCATCTGAAAGTTGGATAGTGAAAAAAGATGCCAAAAGAAAAATTGATGTTTTGAATTGTGGTGTTAGAGCCTGACTACCCCATGGACTGCCAAAAGAACACACAAGTCTGTCTTGGACAGAGTCCAACCAGGATTCTCCTTAGAGACAGGGATGGCAAAACTGCCTCTCACAGACTTAGGGCTTCTTGTCAGGAAGGGGCAGTTCTTGGGGAAAAAAAGACATTATGCTGGGAAAGAAAGAAGGTCAGAAAAAAGAAAGACACTCAGAAGGTGCATCGATACAGTGACTGTAGCAAAGGCCTTGAGCTTGTCAGAGATGATGAGGATGGTCAGAACAGGGCCAGGGCCAGGTCTGCTGTTCCCAGGATCACTATGAGTCATGGGGATCCTGACAATTAGGGTTGATCTAAGTTTACCGGAGACCTCAGTGCTCAGCCCTTGTGAGACAAAGATGGCACCTCTCTGGCAGTTTCAATCCACTGCAAAGTTAGCCAGTCCATGGGAACATTCTCCTCCGTGTAGTTCCTGTCTTGAGAGACCCCACAGGAGGGTCAGCTGTGAGCCCTTTCCAACTAGAGTTGAGTTGTTGGCCCTGCACGACTTCCATGACTGGTCACTGATCAGGCTGTTGCTCTCCGTAGAGTTTCACTGCTGATTTCAGAAGTAGGTAGCTTGGCTTTTCTTCCTGCTCCTTCTTTGTCTGGAAGCCCCACTGAGACCTGTTAAGTATCATCACAGCTCCGAAGCCTTCACTGAGAGCCTAAGCCTGGCTGAGTATGAGGTGCATTGGCCTGGAATCAAACCTGGGCCTCCTGTATGAAAGGCGAGCTTTCCACCACCTGCACCTCAGCAGAAATCCATAGCTGGCAGCTAAACAGAGGCCATTCCAAGTGCTGCTTGTTGGTTGGTTGGTTGTGGCCCGAATGGAAAGCAGCCAGGCTGTGTTGGTACAGCAGTGGTCAGAGTCTCACATAAAATGGGGTGCTCCCTTCTCAGGCTGGGGCAGTTGGTGGGAGCGCCAGGCTGTGTTGATGTCTGACAAGGTGTTTTCTCTCTCTAGTTCTCCAGGCAAGGTAGGGCCTAAGGTCGCTGTAAGCTTTCCAGCTCTCACTACAGGTTTCTCCACTCCACTTTCTAGGTCGGTTCCATCCCTGCCAATGCTGCGGATGACGGACAGTGGTCTCAGGGGCTTATTTCTGCTGTGAGTCTCCTTCCTCCGGCTCCCAGGTGCTTTGTGGGTCCCCCTGAGGGAAGCTCGGGCCTTGGGTCACTTCTCTGTTGACTTCCCAGGCCCGGATGGTGGCGGCAGCAACCAGCAATCTCTGCGAAGCAGCCAACGCCTCTGTTCAGGGTCACGCCAGCGAGGAGAAGCTCATCTCATCCGCCAAGCAGGTCGCCGCTTCCACGGCTCAGCTGCTTGTGGCCTGCAAGGTGAAGGCCGATCAGGATTCGGAGGCCATGAGGCGGCTACAGGTAATGGTCACTGATGCTGGTGGGAAAATACTCCTCTTGGAGCGGGTAAGTGTCGCCAGAGGGGATGGTCCCCATTCCTTGGCATGACCCACCAGGCACTCCATCAGCCTGCCTTCCAGCTTCATCTTCTTCCACGTGCTTCCATGCATCCTGCATCTCTGACCCATTGGGCTGACATTCTCCATGTGCCCCTTCTCCTCTAATGCTTTGGGAGCTTCACTCAAGTCTAAAATGCCCTGACCCTCCTCCAGGCCTACTCCTGGTCAGATCCTACTTTTCCTCTGTGACCCATCTCCAATGTCACCTCTTCTGGGAAGCCCTCCCTTCCTCTTAGGCCTCAGGCAGGCAGTTCTTCCTCTGTCTTCACAGAGCCTCTGACCAGACCATGCTTCTGGCTTCTGGCATGTTGTGCCACTGTATTGATCCCCAGATCTGTCGGAGACCAGGCTATGAGCTTTTTAGGTACAAGTCTTTATCGTTAGATTTCTCACGCATAACAAGGTGCCTATTTCACAACTAGTCCTAATTCAATGCCTGCTGAAGAAGGGAGTGTCAGGACTGAAGAATTAATATGATACTCTTGCCCAGGTTTCCCAGAGCCTGAATCATATGCCTATGAAGGTGACAATTTTCCTTCCCACTGCATATACTTTCACTGGCAGAAATGACTATAAACACAGTGAGGGAAATGTTTGAAAGAAGTACCACATATCCTCGGCATCAAATGCTGTCCGTTTTTACTCTTCCTCCTTTTAATCTACATGTAGAATACTTTTGTCTACTCATCATCATATTGAAATAGATTCTACTTCTTTTCACTTAACATTTTACCATGCTTGTTTTTTCTCTAGAAGAAAAGACTTCAGAATTTATACAAAGTTAAATGGTCCATTCTTCATAAGTCTCATATTTTTAGTGATTGCATGATATTATGTCAAATGATTATATCATTTCCTTATACTTTGGATATATTTATAAGTTATTATGATATAGATTGCTTAAATTGCCTAATGGTATGCTTATATAATAGAGTGCATAAATCATAAATGGTCAAAATGCTTGAACAATTCCACAAAAATGAATAACTAGTTTTATCGAAAAGTCCTAAGATACATTTATGTGTGTTGGGCCTCCTGAATCTCCCTCTAGCCCACCTTCCTCTCTCCAGCTGACTTCTGGGATAAATCCTTGGGATTTGAGGAGCAGCATATATATGTAAATCAGTGATTTATGGGGGTGTTAGAACAGTCACGAAAACATCATGCAGTGGGTTCAAATCCTGCCTCTGCCATGTATTAGGTGTGTGGTCCTTACACATCACTCAGAACTTAGCAGGCATTAGTTGCCTCATCCATAAAATCAGGTCAAGATATGTACACTGCTTTTATGAGAGTCAAATAAAAGATAAGGAATATACGTAAAACACTGCCATTTATACAGTTGTTATACATCATTCTTGTTGTCATTATTGTTTCTTGTGTAAATGGATGCTATAATGTCATGCCTGAGGCCCTTATTAAAAGCCACAGAGGTTTTCTGGGCCTAGTAGACCTTTGTTCAAATCCTGAATCTACAGTTTACCAACTACACAGATAACTTACTCAAACTCCATTTCCATGTCTAAAAAGTAGACTCATGAATTTCTGATCTGATCTCTTCAGGCTATTTTGAGAATAATTACATTATGACTGTTCATTAAATCTTAATTGTCTTCTTTGTCCTTTCATGTACAAATTCCCATGATCTACCTTGATCACCTTACGTCAGTAACTAGGTGGTCCAGTTAGTTGTCAATGAGGAAAACTCTTCCCTTTCTGATGGCTGACTCCCAGGCAAAAGCTCTTGATCCTGACAGAGTCTGGGCAGAGAAATATGGGAAGATCAATAAAACCTTTATCACCAGTACAAGAAAATTCTAGTCCATAGTGAGCAGAGGGGGAGAACATTAAGGGTAAGCCAGAGTGGTGGTTGTGGTGGTATTCGATGTGTCCTCTAGTCAACCACAACTCATAGTGACCCTGTGAACAATGACTCTGAGCCTTGCCCTGTCCTGAGCCAACTTCACTGTCTCCAACACACACTTGACCCCATTGCCACGATCACTGTGTCAATCCATCTTATCCTGGGTCTTCCTCTCCTGTGCTGTCTCTTCACCCTTCCAAGCATGATGTCCTTCTCCAAGGACTGCCCCCTCCTGACAACATGCTCAAAGTATGTCAGATGAAGCTTCAGAATCCTAGCCTCCAAGGAACAACTCTGTTTTTCCCCTCCAGGACAGACCTTTTAGTTCTCTTGGCAGTCCTTGGTGTGTGTTCAGTACTTTTCTCCAGCACAACTCAAAGGCATCGATTCTTCTTATATCATCTTTAGTCACTGTCAAGCTCTCTGATGCATAGCAAGTAATTGTGAAGACCATGGCTTGGACTAAGCAATAGTCTGTAGACTGATCTTGTTGCTCTTCAGCACTCTGGAGAGATCTCTGACAGCAGAATTTCCTAATGCCATTTGTCTTTTGGTTTCCTGACTGCTGCTGCCAAGAGTGTTGATTGTGGATCCAAGTGAGATGAAATCATTAACACCATCAATTTTTCCCTCCATTTATCATGATGCTAACTGTTGACCTGGTGGTGAGGTATTTTGTTTTTGTGATGTTGAGATGGAATCTGTATTGAAGGCTGCATTCTTTGTGCTTCTGCAGCAAACATTTCAAGTCCTCTTCATTTTCAACAACCAAGGTAGTGTCATCTGCATTAATGCAGGTTTTTGATGACTCTTCCTCCAGTCCTGATGCCACATTGTGACTCATAAAGTCTAGCCTCTTGAGCCTCTTTTTAGCATATAGATTGCAAAAGTATAGAGAAAGGAGTGCACTCCTTTCTTGATTCTGAACCATGCAGTGTTCCCTTGCTCCGTTTGGACAAAGCTAGGGTATAATCTAATAATCTGGACTTCATGTTGAAAAGCTTTTCTTTTGCTCTCTTTAACAATTGCCAGTTCTCAAGCACATGATGTAATACTCAGTTATTATCTGAAAAGTCTTAATCCTTTTGAGACTTCCAGCCTTGAAAAAGCGTACTGAGTCATGGACTGCCAAAAGAACAAACAGATATATTTTGGGGGAAAGTGCAGCTACCATCAGCATCAAAGATGGTAAAACTTCATCTTTTACACGTTGGGCATGTTGCTAAGAGAAGCTGTTCCTTAGAAGAGAACATCAAGGTGGGAGAATCAACAAAAGAGAGGAAGACCCTCAACAAGATGGACTGAGACAGTGACTGCAGCAAGTGTGTCAGCGATGATGAGGGTGGCACAGGACAGGGTTCAGTGGGGTGGCTATGAATTACACTTGACCTGACGGCACCAAAACAACTCATCCCTTTCTTGAATTCCTTCAAAAGCATTCACTTATCACCAGCCCTGAGCATCCGTTGTGCAAATGCTGGGGATGTAAAGATTTGAGTCACAGCTCCCACCCTCAAGTTACCCTCTGTCTGGGCCAGAGACCAACAAACAAAGTGTGGTCAAGGCTGCAATGAATCCAGCACCAAGCACTGTGGGAGCTCAGGGGGAAGAGGGCAAGGCTATGGCAAACAGGAAAAGTGATGCCTGAGCCAAGCTCTGAAATACGTGATAAAGTCAGATTGGGGCCCAGGCCCAGAGCTTTGCTCCATCAGAAAAGCGACCCAGGGTATCTGCCTTAACACACGTCTTGCTTTGCAGTAATCATTTCCTTACACAGTTCTCTTCCTCTCAAGAGTATGTTCCAGGAACTGAATCATAGTCATCTGTGAATAAGTCACACATGGAAGGTTCCTGGGTTGATAGAATTGCTGGATAGGTAGACAGACAGACAGACAGACAGATGGATACTCACTCACGGGGGAGAACTTGTGTGTGATAAACTGACTCACATGCTCATGAATTGATCTCATGAACTATGTCTGCATGTCTGTTCTTTCCAGGTCCAAATGGCTGTTTCTAATGATACAATTTATGCTTTGTTCTTTCTCAGGCGGCAGGCAATGCTGTGAAAAGGGCCTCAGACAATCTTGTTCGTGCCGCCCAGAAGGCAGCATTTGGCAAAACTGATGATGATGATGTGGTCGTGAAAACCAAATTTGTAGGAGGCATTGCTCAGGTTTGTGATTAAACTCAGAAACAGTGTCTGCCCCAAAATGTTGTAACCAAACTAAACTCATTGCAGTCGAGTTGATGTCAATTTGTGGTGACTTGGTGTATGTCACAGTAGAGTCCTCTGTGACTGATGTCTTTCAGAAGTGGATCACCAGACCTTTCTTTTGAGGTGCTTCTGGATGAATAGAAACTTCCAGCCTTTTGTTTAGCAGCCAAGTGTGTTAGCTATTTGCCCTTTCCAGGGCCATAGAGTCGATTCTGATTCATACCCATCCCACAAGTCAGCATAGAATGGCCCACAGGCTATTCAGTCAGTGACCAGAAGTCAGCTTCTTGTTTCTTGGCCCATCTGGATCATTCGGCCTAAATCCCAAAGTTGGGCTGGAAGGCTGGGGACAAAGCTCAGAATGCTGTCCTCATTGCACCACCTGTCCCACTGCAGCCAGGGACACAGAGCTCACGAGGCAAACCATTCAGATTATAAGATTCCTAGAAAGTCTTAGCTCCAGCCAGCTTGTGTGTTGCTTTTCTTCTAGATCATTGCTGCCCAGGAGGAAATGCTCAAGAAAGAACGAGAACTGGAAGAAGCAAGGAAAAAACTGGCCCAGATCCGCCAGCAGCAGTATAAATTCTTGCCCACTGAACTTAGAGAAGATGAGGGTTAAAGCCAGAGACAAGACGGGGTACCCCAGGGAATGGCCCTGCAGGGACTGGACAGACAGTGTTCCCAAGAGGCCGGACACTTACCTGGAACCAGCCCGCCTCCCCCTGGGGTGAGCCCAGAGCCCCAGTGCTAACCCTCACTTCTCTGTCCTGTTGGGCACGGCTGCATGATTGTGATGTCACACGGTACAGTGTTCCACCCACAGCTCCTCCACCACCTCCCCTCATGCCTCACCGTATCTCAGGAGAGAGGGGCACCCATCTCGTGGACTGTTACCGAAAAAGAGAAGTCAGTATTATGTCATCCTCAGATACTTTTACTTTTGTTGGTCCTTCTCTAGGCCTCCTCCTGGGCCTTTTGGGAAAATCTTTATAGGAAAAAACGAAACCCAGCTTGGCAGAAACCATTAATGTCATAGATCTTCATGATATTCTTCTCTCTCTTGGGAGAAGATGGACATTGGAGCTGGACATGGTTAATAAAAGCCAGAAACAAACCAGCGTGGACTGCAGGAGGGTGACTTGAGTACCCCTTCCGTGTTTGAGCACTGGCTTCCCCAGGGGGTGAAGAACTACACTCCTTTTTGCACACTTTCCTGCCTCAGTGTGTAAGCTCCTTGTTCAATCTAGACTCATCTTGTATTCTGTGGCCCAGAAAATCAAATTACTATTTTGTTCCTCCATAACCCAAAGGGCAAAGGTGTGGGAAACCTGTCCAGGTTGGGTGGCCGGGGCTGTAATAAAACCTGTGGGCGCCTTACTCTACAGAGGCTGGTTCTGTTCATCATAATGCACACACACCCTGCAGACCCATAGCCCCCAAGTGACAAGGCAGCATCCTTCACAGAGCTCTCAAAGTTGGGACCCAGCTGAAATAGAGAAATCTCTTGGTGATACCATCTTCCAGATCCCAAACGAGTTTCTCACTCTTAAACTGGTCAGAATTCAGTGTTTGAAGGCAACCACCTGATAATCTGGCACCTGTCCTCTATTCCAATATGACGTTCTTTCTGCATTGTGATGTCCTAAATCTCTGTGCACCTTTCCCTAATAGCTTTTCCCTGTCTTGCTCGTAAGTGATGACAGAATTCAATGCCTGTTTTTTGAATGCCATAGACCTCCCCTACTCTCCTGTCCCCATCTTTAGACTCCTATCCTTGGAAAGGAATTTTAAAACCTGAACTTTGCCTTTAATCTGGGCCTCTACCTGAGACAGATGGCTTACCACATGAAGAGTGGCGAATGGTTAAGAGCTCAGAAGGTGGGCCGTTTTGCCAGATAGCAAATGTCTTTTGAAAGAGGAGTTATTGGAGGAGCTTGATTTGTAAGACTGATAACTGTGATGTGTGATCTTACGTCTCCTATTTCATCATATTGTTTCATAAAGGAGGCCTGGTGACGCAGTGGTTAAGCACTCATCTGCTAACGGAAAGCCTGACATTTTAAACCTGCTATTTCACAGAAGATGACATGGCAGTCCACCTCTGTAAAGAGTGCAGCCGTAGAAACCCTCAGGGGCAGAGCTACTCTGTCTTAATGGTTTGTGATAAGTCAGAATCAACAACAGTGGGGGTCTCGGGGGTTTTTTTGTTCTGTCTAAGGAGAAAACTCTGGTTTCCGTCTCAGAAAGTGTCACCCTTGGACCTTGCTGTGATCCTGTTTTAACAACCCTAGTCATGTTATAGAGAGTGCTGGTGGCTGTCAACAGCTTGATCTTGACTGGATCCACAATCCACACCTTCGGTACAAGCAGTCAGGAAATAAGGAGAGGCATTGAACTGAGAAAATCTGCAGTTAGGGACCGTTCCAAATTATTGAGGAGTAATAATGTCAGTTTGAAGACTAAGGTGTAGCTGATTCAGGCCATAATCTTTCCTATGAAAGGCTTTTCTTGCTATGCATCTGATAACTGGGCAATGAATAAGGATAACAGAAAAAGAATTGATGCTTTTGAGCAGTGGTGTTGGAGAAGAGGACTGGACGTCCCATGGACGGCCATGAGAATAAACGGGTATGTCTTGGAGAGGGTGCAGCCAGAGTGCTCTTTGGAGGCAAGAATGATGAGGCTTAGCCTCACATACTTTGGATATGTTGGTAGGAGGTGCTGTTCCTTGGAAAAGGACATGATGTTGGGAAGGGTGAATGGTCAGCGAAGGAGAGGAAGACCTTCAAACAGGTAGACTGATATGGTGACAGCTGCAATGGGCTCTTGTGCAGCAGGAAGTATGAGGATGGCACAGGATAGAACAGGGTTCAAATCTTTTGTTCATAGGGTTGGTACGAGTCATGCTCCACTCGACAGCACCTAACAACAATAACTGGTGGCCTAGTGGTGAGAAACTGTAGCAATCCCAAGGGCACACAGTTCAAATCTACCAGCTGCCCTGCAGGAAAAGGATGGGCAATCTCCTGTCGTGCAATTAGCTGCCTCTGAAAACCCACTGGAGGGTCAGCTGTGGGTCAGTTCTTTTTTTTTTTTTTTATTTTGTGGGTCAGTTCTGATTCAGCAGTACTCAACAACAATGTCATGTTTATAGGGCGCTCCAGTGGCTTACTCGATAGGAAGTTGTGCTGCTAAAGCATAAGGCAGCATCCCTCTGAACATTGACAACCACCAGCCAGTCCACAGGAGAAAGGTGGCCACACTCATCTCATGTGATTTACAGCCTCTGAAAACCCGCTGGAGGGTCAGCTATGATTCCATCCCAACTCAACAAAGAGGACTAATCGTCTGAGCTCATGTTATGGTTTAAAAATGGGTATTAAACTTCTCACTGTGCCCCATATTTACAGGAGGCCTGTAAGTGCTATGCACATTTAGAGCTTTTCCCAGACAACAGAAAGAAGAAATGGAGTCTGACTGAAAAATCAGTGAGGGGGACGTGTCAGTGGAGTAAGGAAGCATGAACGGTGCAAACATGGAAGCTTCTGGATCTCTGTGTGCTCAGCGGAAAGCTAACTCTTGGCTTGTCCCCTCAGATGCAGTGAGGGCAGTTTTCACAGAGCTCTGGTAACAGTGGTTCAGTGCTTATCTATTAACCAAAACATGTATGGCTAGAACACACTGTCAGCCACTAGGAGGGAAGACCCGGCAATCCACTCCTGTAACTTGCAGCCTCAGAACTCCACAGGGCAGCTCCACTCTGTCCTATCAGCCTGCTGTGAGTTGGAATCCACTCCAGGATACCTCTTCATCCCCACCCTGGCCTGAAGCCCCTTCTGATCAGAATGTAAACACAGTGTACTCCTCAGACACCTCAAGAAGGGACTTAGGGTGCTTTCAGAGACTAAAGGGTCAGGTTCAAAGGTGTTTTAATGGCCTCATGGCTCGTCCCACACCACCCCTGTGCTCTCACTCCTTGTGCTGTTCAGAACGCCTGGCCCGCCCTCCCCGCTCACGTGTCCTCAGTCCATCCGGGCATCCCAGGAGTTAGGGATGGGCAGTTAATGGGTCCTCTCCGGCTGCCTTATGACTCAACCATTTAAACTCTATTACATTTGATATTAGAAACCTCTCCAGAGGCCAGCCAAACAGCACAGCCTGTCTTTACAACGTGAAAGAACAGGTGAGGAACAGTTTATTTTTCTGTCGAGCCTTTATAAATATCTCCCCGTTTGTTGTCTTCTGCTGCTAGAAGTTTGGAAATTATTTCCCAGTCATCATCTGGGGTGGTCCTGGCTTTTCACCTCCCTTCCTAGCCCACCGTGCGTGTGTGTGTGCATCCTTGTGGCCCAGTCTCTTCTCATTTCCTAAGGGAGGCTGTGGTTTGGTGGCATTAGTTAATAGGTGCTCGTGGAAGCATCCCAGGTGACTCTGAGGGGACATCTGGATCTGTAAAGGAAGGTGATTTTGGAGTTTGAAGGTAGGAATTTGCAGCTGGAATGTGAGCTGCTGACAGGGATATCGTTCGGGCTAACAATAGAGCCGGGCCTGGAGCATGGGGTGCAGATCTTCACAGGAGAGGGGCAGATGTGAGGCAAATCTCTGTGTCTAGAAATTACTGTCCCTGGTGATTAGGCAATGAGCCTGGCTCTTGACTTCAGCACAATCCAGTGATTCAGGAGTTTGCATTTTGTCCAGTCTTACTTTTCAGAGATCTTAGGAGAAGAATGTTAAAGCCACAGCTGGTTAGTCAGGCAGCCCTTGTTTAAACTCTGCTGTGCTCAGTCAGGTGAGTCCTGCTGGTGCCAGTCAGCCCCAGTCACCTGCCGTCTGTGTCCAGGCCCTAAGGATTGAGTCCCCTCTAGCCGTAGCAAGTGACTTTATAGTGGAAAACTTCGTAGGGCTCTGACAACTTTTCCTACTTGTGTTGTGGGTGTTTGATCAGTCAATGAGTTTGCCGGCAACCAAAACCACTTATTTAAAAAAAATTAAAATATTTTAACTGGGGAAAAATAAGGGACTCAAACCAAAAATCGGAAAAACTACTTTTTTGCAATGCCCCTGAATTGTAATACCCACCTCCAGAGTTATCCCAAAGACTAAAACCTCCCACATGGCCCAGGCCACAGAGTAGTGGTCATGAACAAGCCATGGTCTCTGCTGCTAGAGAATGGAAAACTTCATTTCCTGCTTTGTGGATGCCCCCTAAAACCACCTCTCCTGGCTCTGAGATCTGGGCTCTGGCAGGACCTATGGAGCTGCTAACCTGAGAACCCCAACAAAGCAAGCTTCAGTGTGCTCACTCTCAGCCATGCAGGGTCCCCTCTGCTGCCGAGTGGAGTGTCGGGATGGCTGCTGCTGAGAGCCTTCACAAAACCAGGAATTCGGGAGGAAAGGCCCACTTCAGGGACACTGTAGTCCCAGAGTTCAAAATCCCAGAGGGGCCTGGCTCTGTGATGGGGCTCAGGTCTCCTCTCGCCACAGCCTCTGCTGAGGGCTCATGACGTGGTCTCTGATGCAGGTAGGTGTCCTCCCTGGAAGGGACTCTTAATACCATATTTAAAATTTTCTGAGGCTATGGCTCCATCTTTCTGGGCTTTGTGATGGGTATTTTAGGTT